ACTTCGATATTGATATGAAACATTTCCCAAACGATTATTGTTTTCTTCGGGAATAAATGATGATCCACTGATAAGAGATGATCTACAAAATCCTGTAAAAATTGAATTTTAGACTATGTTTTTGTTAAACATAAAAGTTAACATAATTAGTCAATCATTATAATACATAAAATTAATTAGACAAAAAAATGTACTTAATCAATCAACCATTATGTTTGTGTTTAAGAGCTAAAAACCATTGTCTTACATGTGGGCCAAATAATTTTAATTAATTGGGCCTAAAATCTAATACATATGTTTGGGCCCAAGTCATATTTTTTTTTTTTTTCAGCCCAAACAACTAAACATTTGCAATAAAAGTACATTACAAATTAAATGGTTGGTTCAAAATCGGACGGCTATAAGTAAAGGAAACAAATCTAATGGCTGATATTAAGTCAAATATGGTATAAATTATGAGAAAACCCGATAAGGGTTTCATTCACCACATCAGTTTTTTTCGCCGCTACACCTCTCTCTCTCTCTCTCTATCTCTCTCTCTCTATCTCTCTCGATAATTTCTTATCTGTAAACATTCCTTGAATAAAATCGTCCGATTTTGCCGTATTTTTGTCTGTGAATTGTTGTTTCATCACTGAGCTTTCTTATTTTGTAAAATCGAGCACATCGATTTCGTTTTTTACAGTTTTTTTTTAATTTTTCAAAACTGTGAAAAATGAATCTTGTATCGATCTTTACTTCGATCACTGCCGACAAATCGACGATCTTCAGATCGGAAATTTAAACATCGCAGTGGAAGGTAAGAAGAACGTTCACCTAATTTTTTTTTAATACGTATTTTGATTTCGATAGAATATATATGTTCTCTTGCGAAATTGATGTTGTTTGCTACAAATTTATTTCAAGACAACACCAGATCTAGGTTTTCAGTTTAATTTGCTATCTGTTTGTGATTGAATTGAAGTGTTTTATGTGCGAAACTTGTGTTCTTGCAGTTTATACATGTTTATGTCAAAAAAACATCGGATCTACGTTTTCCTCTTAATTTTCTACCTGCTTGTGATTGAATTAAAGTGTTTTATGTGCGAAAATTGCAATCTGCCAACCATCGAATAGTATGTTATCGTTTTTATGTCAGTGTGTTGATCTTTCATATGCAATAGTCATTTTGTTGTTTCAGATATTTGCACGAATATGAACTATGTATATTCGGTTGACACATGCATGAACTACCATTCTGATAAACATTGATTCAAAGAGTGGTTGATATCTTTGAAATGTTCACACATACTCTAATAGATTTAAGTGTATAGCTCGACTTTGTTTTGTCTATAAAAAAATGCGCTGTATTCTAATGGTAGCAGATTGGATGTTGTTGTTTTAAAGTCATTTGAACTAACTATTTAATTGTAAGTTCAATATTTAGTTTCTGACCACAGTACTTTTATTTGATTGCATGAGAATCAACCATACGGGTCAAAGAGCTTGGTCAACAACAAAAGGCTACATAATACTTGAGACAACATAGAATGAGCTATGTGCTATCAGTAAGTGTTTTACTAATTCAAGGAAATAAGATTACAACTTCTATTTAATGATTTTTATATTCTAATAGCATATATTTTCTTACATCTTATAAACTCTTATTGATAGATAACATAGAAGCTGACATAATGTGGAATCCAAGGGCTGAACATTCAAGTGAATAACAAACTGGTGATGCCATTTCATTTTGAGTAACATGAAAAGGTAAAAATTGTGCATAAATATGTGTAGTTAATAAAATAAATTATAACAAATAACTAATTATGATGAATATTATCTTAATAATTTAACTAAATTGAGTATGCAACACACTTGTTTCCT